AGTCGCAGCCGCAGCTGAGTCGTCGCCAGGCTAGGTGGATGGAGTTCATGGAAGGGAGCTTTCACTACAGGATAGAGTACAAGCCAGGCGTGCGCAACCCAGCAGATCCGCTCACTCGCCCTAGTTGTCAGCTCGCCAGTCTCACAGTCACTGCTGGCCACCCACTTCTTACAGCACTCTTCGAGCACGGTTACACAGTAGATCCCGACTTCACACCGCAGCCGCCCGCAGGAGCAGAGGTGCAGGGTAGTGTCTACATACGGAAGGGTACCACACGGATTTGGGTTCCAGCCTACCGCCCTCTTCGACTGCTCCTTCTCTCAGAGGCGCACGACGTAGTTAGTGCAGGGCACTTCGGAGCAGATAAGACGGCTAAGACGCTTAGTCGCACGTACTACTGGCCCGGGCTTGCAGCAGACGTAGAGGATTACATTCGCTCGTGCGACACGTGTCAGCGTACGAAGTCCTCTCGCCAGCGCAAAGCAGGACTCTTGCAGCCGATTCCACCGCCCGACCGCCCTTGGCAGGTAGTTACCATGGACTTCATCATGGCTTTACCGCGCACAGTTAGGGGTCACGACGCCATCTTCGTAGTAGTGGATAAGTTTTCTCGAGCAGCGCATTTCATCCCCACGCACGGCAAGGTCACAGCAGAGGAAGCCGCGACGCTGTTCGTAGATAACGTAGTCCGACTGCACGGGGTTCCAGATTCCATCATCTCAGACCGCGACCCTCGTTTCACTTCGAAGTTCCGGAAGCAGCTTTTCGCACTGTTTGGGACTCGCTTAGCCATGTCGTCTGCGTACCACCCAGAGACAGACGGACAGACCGAGCGTGTGAACCAGACCTTGGAGCAGATCCTTCGCAGCATCACGATGCACGACGCAGCCGCATGGGACAAGAAGCTGAGCATGGCAGAGTTCGCCTACAACAACACGCACCACTCCGCCACAGGCATGTCACCGTTCTTTGCACTTTACGGTCAGCACCCCAATGTCCCCACTCGTGTCGATCTCACACCCACAGTCCCTCGTGCGGACAACTTCCACCAGCATCTCACCTTCATTCATGATCACGTGAGGAAGCACCTTGAGCTCGCAAATGCACGCATGGCACGCACCACCAACCGCAGTCGTCGTGAGGTGTCGTTCGCAGTCGGCGACCGTGTTCTCTTGGATAGCCGCAACCTCCGACTGCCACAGGACAGCAAGCTTCGTCCACGTTTCATTGGTCCATTCGTCATTGAGCGCGCACTAGGTCCAGTCGCATACCGCCTTCGCCTTCCCGCACATTTCCGCATGCACCCGTCATTCCACGTGTCTCTCCTTCGCCCATACACCGATCCCAATGCCACCTTCTCGGGCCATGATCGCACTCCACTGCCGGTAGCTGTTGACACCGACGAGCCCGACTACCAGATCCAGCGCATCCTCAGGCATCGTCGCCGTCTCCAGGGGGGTGTCACTTTCATCGACTTCTTGGTTCGTTGGCGTGGTTACGACGCAACAGACGACAGCTGGGCTCCTTCGTCCTCGCTGTCTCCTGACAACGCTTGCCTCCAAGCGTACCTTCAGTCTTTAGGCGCCGCGGACGTCGCCTCCTTGGGCGGGGGGTAGTGTTAGAGGGGTGTTTACTGTTCATTCCGAACAGTACATTCCTAGTCACAATTATCCTTATCTTCTCAGATTCTCTAGTGCCACGTGGCACTCTACTTTTCTTGCACTCCAATTCTTGGTCCCACATTCCACTTTCCAACCTTGTTTCTTGCATGCTATATAAACCTTGCTTGTACTTGCCATTATCAATCAATTCTCATTCAACTCTTCTTCAATTACTCAGTAACTTCTTCGCCTATTTCGCCAATAGTTCTTTCGCCAAAGTCTTCCGCCGCGTTTCATCCTCGACTTAGTCGACCCCGCTAATTCTTTAGCGGACTTAGGCCGTCGGGCCTAACACATCCACTGTTTACGGACCAGGCGCGGACTGGTCTGGAGGGCCAAATAAATGGCCCCGTTTTAGAGCCATTCGAATGGTATTACGGGGTTACAAGCCCCACATCCCGGTTCGCCCTGGTTCACGCGCTGGTTCTTGAGCTGGTCCGTCAGGTCTGAGCCGTACCCACGTGGACTCAGACATCTGAGACACTTCCTTAGAGCTTGGTACGTACCCCTCTTTTTGGGGACTGGTCGGGTTGCCTCAAACGGTCGGGCTGGGTTGACCAGTAGGGCTACCAGATTACCAGGGTCTGGACAGTGTACAGTATTGTACGTGTGTACCAGAGCTTCTCACACATGGTCGAGGCAACCAGGTGGATAAGCGACCAGCTGGTCGCGCCCGCGTACAATCGAGTCGAGGCAACCAGCCTCGAACGTACCAACATGCAGCGGAACCAGTGATACAGAAAACATTTTTGGGGCAGGTCACACAATCAAATGTCGATACGATTGGTGGAAGAAAGTAAAGATCAAGAATTGAATGCAGAACATTGGCGGAATGAGTGTTGGGTCTGCCCCAAATACTATTTGCATGGTGGCTCCCGAAAACAAGCGGGTGGTACAAATGCAGGTTGCCTGCTGGGAGGGACCCAACCGCTCACTGGTCGACCCGACCAGTCAGGTTCGGTCCACTTTTACAGGCAACCGGGCCCTGCGACCAAAATAAGGGGTACCTAACACGCTCTTGTAAGCCAAGCACACACCCACGCACCACCACTGCACCACTGGTGCCACCACCATCAAATCCTTTTCTTCGCCTACCAAAACCCTTCTTCGCCCCTTCATTGCGGGTCGCCCTTTATTTGTTTCCTTGTCTGATCCTTGTTTCCGTAGTTATTAGAATCGTCGTCGTCGCATCGTCGCCATCAGCCAGTCGCCATGGCGAAGCACAAGGCGTCGACGAGCCGCCTCAACAAGATCGAGACCCGCAAAAAGGCGAAGCGCGAGAAGCGCAACGCCCGCGACCGCCGCCGCCGCGCGATCTCCTTCGCAGTAGCCGCCGCGAATCTCGGCGCGGAGGCGCAAGATCTTCTTGTGCCGTCGAAGCAGCAGCAGGGAGCGCCGCCCGCGAAAGCCGTCCGGGAAGCTTCGAAGAAGCGGCGGAAGACGAAGCCGGCGGGGCTGCAGATCTACTGGCATTTGGCCTCCGTGAGACGCGGGCCGCGAGAAACGGCGGCGGTAGCATTGGTTTCGGAGTTGACGACGGCGCAAAAGGCGTACCTCCGCGCGCAAGGAGGGGGGAAGAAGGGTGCTGGGAAGAAGGACGGGGGAAATGTGAAAAACTCTAGCGGAAATGGGACGACAGAGGGTTCAGGGCTTAAGAAGGGTTCAGAGGATGAGAGTTCGGAAGAGGAGGAAAACGAGAGTGAGGAGGAAGAGGAGGCGAGTGACGAGGAGACAGAGGACGAAGAGGAGAGTGGGGAAGAGGACGAAGAGGAGGAGGATGAAGAGGATGAAATGGAAGAAGAGGAGGAGGGCGAAGAGACGAAGGGTGTTTTAAAGCTGGAGGGGTGTTGCGACGAGATTACGTACGCCGTGAAGAGGTTGATCAGAGGCCTTGAGTCGTCCCGCGGGGTAAGCTTATGAGTCGACTTGAGTTGGCTTGAGACATTAACTGTGAATCGTTCCGCGGGGTCGTTCCGCGCAGTCATTCCGCGCATTCGTTCCGCAGAGTCGCCCCGTGGCCCTTGACGCTTGCCTCTGCGCGCTGCTGTCCTCTCTGCGCCCTCACCCGCCCGCGATCGCTGCTGCTATTAAACTATCCCGATCTCTTTCCCCTCTCCACCCCTCTCCACCCCTGGCCCCCGCCTTCTTCCCCCTCCCCCCACCAGAGCGCAAGGCAGGTCTACTCGGTTGCTCTCGCTGCCTGCCTCCGCGCGCCGCTTCCGCTTATACCACTCTGATCTCCTTCCCTGCCCCTGCCCCTGCCCCTGCCCCCGCCCCCGTCCTCCCCCTCTCCTCCCCCACTCGCCTCCACCAGGGCGCAAGGCAAGGTTACTCCGTGGCCCTCGCCGCCTGCCTCCGCGCGCTGCCCTCTCTGCACTCACACCTGCCGGCCATTGCGGCTGCTATTCCGTTGCTCATTCCTCTCCCCAACAACGCCCGGGGAAAGGTGAGCCTTTGTCGCTGGTTGTTACGGTTGAGTCGACTTAATACCAAACCTGCCTGCTATTGCTGCCGCGATTCCGTTGCTCATCCCTCTCCCCAATAACGCCTGGGGAAAGGTGAGCTCGGGGTTATGTTGTTAACGCGTATGCAAGGTGTATGAATCTTTTATTTTTCAGATAAGTTTAGCATTACGCCAGGTAAAAAAAAATTGGGGGAGGGCGGGGGGAAGGTGAAACAGTATTTGACGTTGTTCCTTTATTGGTCGGTTTGTTTTTTGTTTTTTAACGACGAAGCGTCTAAAATCTCTGATGAATGATTTAATCAATTAGTTATTAAAAACTACACTCACACACACAAACATGATAATGGGAGAACCATGAAGAGGCGCCGAAAAAGTACCTGCTTGTTCCTTTGAGGGAAGGATTCTAATGCCGTAAGCGTTTTTATGCTGAGCAACACGTGAATGGAGATGGATGGAGTACATACAAGAGTCTATGAGACCAGCACTCCTGTCTGTCTCTGCTCTCGGTGCTCCCATCAGGAGCGGCCTGCATGCCTCCCCTTCCCAACCGCTCCTCCCTTTTCTCCCCCCTACCCCTGATCTCCCCCAGGTCGCATCTGAAGCGCTCTTTGGTCGCATGTTTGCTCTCGGTGCTCTTATCGGGACCGCTTTGCTCGCCTCCTAAGCGGCTTTCCCAACTCTCCCTTTTCCCCCTCCCTCCCACTGGTTCCTCCCCCGGGTTGCCTCTGAGCCCCTTTTTTGGTGCATGTTCGCCCTCGGTGCTCACCTCTCATCAGGAGCAGCCTGCTCGCCTCCCCTTGCAGCCTTCTCACCTCCCACCTCCCCTCTCTCCCGTCTCCCTCTCTCGTCTCCCCTTTCTCTCCCCAACACATCAGGTCGCCTCTGAGGCCCTTTTTGGGCGCATGTTCGCCGTGGGTGCTCTCATCAGCAGCAGCCCTCTCACTCCCCTCAAATTCTCTCCCCTCCCCTTCTTCCCCAAAACCCCCTTCCCTCAGGACGCCTCTGAAGCCCTCTTTGGTCGCATGTTCGCCCTCGGCTCTCTCATTCGGAGCGGCCTTCTTGCATCCCCTTCCTCCCTTTCCTCCACAACCGAAAAGCCAGCAGCAGCGGCAGCAGGAGGGGGGGAGACGGGGTGGGTGGTGGGGAGGGGGGGGTGGTTACCGGGGGAGGTTGTATCTCAGCTCCTGAGGGTCGGCGAGCAACGGTCTTTCCTTGCCGAGCCTGCAACGGTGCTGCTGGTGGCACTGATTTCGCAGGTGAGTACAATGGGCAGGTGTTTATAACGGGTAGGTTTACAACGGGCAAGTGATTATAACGGGCAAGTGATTATAATGGGCAGGTGACTAACGGGCTGGTGCCTACAACTGCTGTGAACGAGAGGGTGACTGTAACGAGCAGGTGACTGTAACGAACAGGTGACTTTAACGAGCAGGTAACAACTGTAACGAGCAGGTAACTGTAACGAGCAGGTGACTGTAACGAACAGGTGAGTGTAACGAGCAGGTGACTTAAACGAGGAGGTAACTGTAACGAGCAGGTGACTGGAACGAGCAGGTGACTGTAACGAGGAGGTATCTGTAACGAGGAGGTGATTGTAACGAGCAGGTGACTGTAACGAGTAGGTGACTGTAACGAGCAGGTGACTGTAACGAGCAGGTGACTGTAACGAAAAGGTGACTGTAACGAGAAGTTGACTGTAACAAAAAGGTGACTTACAAAAAGGTGACCTTAACGAAGGTGATTGTAACGAGAAGGTGACTGTAACGAGAAGGTGACTGTAACGAAAAAGTGACTGTAACGAGAAAGTGACTGTAACGAGAGAGTGACTGTAACGAGAGGGTGACTGTAACGAGAAGGTGACTGTAACGAGCAGGTGACTGTAGCGAGCAGGTGACTACAATGAGCACAGGTGAAGAGATAATCGATACATCAGTTATCTACGATAACTTACTAAACGACCAGGTGTCTTTAACGAGCAGGTGACTATACGAGCCTATGATGCGAAAGACGCTCAGAGGACGCTGCGTCCTGCGTCTGGACGCAGCGTCTGGACGCTAGGACGCAAGACGCGCGTCCAGACGCAGGACGCACATCGAAATTTTTTCGGGCTGCCCCGATTTTTTTTTTTTCCAGATTACGAATTTCAATCTCGCGATTTCGACGCGAGTGTCGAAATCGCGAAATTTTGACCCCACATTGCCCAATTCGACATTGAAAAACAGCCCCCCCCCCCAACATTTCAATTTCATAACCCCCCCTTCAACAATTGAATTCCAAATACCTCTCAACCACTTCACATCACATCTAGAAAACCCAACCAAGGTGCCTACCACCAAGCCCATTTAGCAATCCAACCAAGTCATTTCTCATTTCACCCACCCAACCAATTCTCTTTCGAAAACCCTAGAGGTTTTAGCCTACAAGCATAGCTTAGCTCCATTATGGCTTCCTCAAGCAACCCTACGTCATCTAACGCATCTAGGGATGTTTATGCCGAGGACGAGTCTCCCCCGCAGCGTTTCACTAGTGATGGGGTGGAGAAGAAACCGCAAAAGCCCAAACACCATATTTATAGGCATTTTTGGACATTCGAGGATCCGACGAAAAAGGGATTGCAGTGCGAGTGCCTTTGGTGCGAGAAATCGTTCGCCTTCAGTAGTAGCCGGTGCACTCAGCATCTCGCCGAATGGAACGACGCGAACGTGCGGCGCGATGGCGGTGTTGTTTGCGCGAAGGTTCCTAAGAGCATTTCAGACGCCATTCGCGGCGGGAAGGAGACAAAGATTACGGCGCGCAAGGATAAAGAGAGGGCTTTCGAGGCGGCGCTTACTGCGGTGAGCGGCCATGGCGGAGCGGAACCGAAGGCAAAGAAGGGGCGGATGGAGGATTGGTATGGCGAGGGGGGGAAGGCGGCGAAGCGTGCTGCCGACGATGCGATTTGCCTCTTCATCACGGGGACGCGCTCGGGGGAGACTATATGCCAGCACCCCCTCTTCCTCAACATGCTGCGCGCCGTGAACGCCGCCGGAACCAGCTATGTCCCCCCCAAGCGTGGTTACGTTGGAGGCGCCGGGCTGCTGGCGTGCAAGCAGCAGATTGAGAAGGCGTTGACGCCCATTACGAAGACGTGGAAGGAGATTGGCATGACGATCGCAAGCGATATGATGAGGGACAAGAGCGGGCGTGCGCAGATGAACATCCTCTGCATCAATGCCAGTGGAGCGGTTTTCCAGGAGGCGGTCGACTGCAAGGCGGAGACCAAAAGCGGAGCGTTTATCATGAGCGTCCTGCAGCCGGTCATCGAGAAGGTTGGACCGGAGCACGTCGTCGCGATTTGCACGGACGGCGGCAGCAACTACGTGTCCGCCGCCAAGCGGCTGCAGAAGAAGTACTCGCACATTGAGTTCGTCCCCTGCGCCACTCATGTGCTCAACTTGCTGTCGGAGGACTTCGGCAGCATGGCTTGGGCGCAGGAGGTCGTGCCTGTGGCGACCGACATGATTTCGTTCATTCGCAGCCACACGTGGACGCATGCCTTCCTGCGCTGTCCCGAGCTGCACGGGGAGGAGAAGTCGCTTCAGCCGCTGCGACCGGCGGGCACGCGCTTTGGGACGTAGTACATAGCGGTGTCTCGTCTGCGTGAGATTCGCCCTCAGCTGACGGCGATGGTGACGCACAAGGATTGGGAGGAGAAGGGGAGGAAGCAGCTGACTGGGAAAGACTTTGAGGCGTCGGTGTTGGATGTGGAGTGGTGGGCAAAGGTGGATACCTTCGTGAACGTAATGGCGCTGCCGTACAAGGTGATGAGGAAGACGGATGGGTCGCGAAGGGGATGATGGGGGCGATGTACGACATGATGCTGCAGCTGACGGAGGACTTGTCGGCGCTGTTGGAGAGTGCGGATTGTCCGCTCAGCGATGCGGATAAGGAGGGGTTGCTGGAGCACTTGAGGCGGCGTTGGGACGAGAGTTTGGCCTGTCCTCTTCACGTGGTAGGCCGGATTCTGAACCCGGTCAACCAGGAGGAGGGGATCTATCTCAAGGACATTGAGTGCACCAGGGTGATGAAGGCCTGGCTGTCGCGCTCGAGGGCCTTCGTCGACAAGTACTGGAAGAAGGATGGCGAGAGGACTGGAACGATGATGGCGCTGCAGGAGGGGATGCTGGCGTCCATTGAGGGCAGGGGGTGCTTTGGGACGGAGGAGGCGATAGAGGGGCGTGCGCAGCTGAAGGCAGGGAAGGGGGACATGGCGACGTGGTGGAAGATGAACGGCTGGGAGTATGCCGATCTGACAGGCCTTGCAATCCGTGCGGTGTCACAGGCCGTTTCCGCTTCTCCGTGCGAGCGGGGATGGGCTACGTGGGATGGGGTGCACACGGCGCGCAGGAACAGGTTGGGGTCGGAGAAGGTGCGCGACCTGGTGTTCGTGGCGCACAACTGGAAGGCTGTGCTCGGCCACCACGAGGGTGCAGTTGTTGCAGGGCCAAGTGGGGAAGTGAGGAAGGCGGGGGTAGTGGAGGGGAACATTCCCACCCCTCCCCTCCCCGAGGGGTACAGGTTGGAGGAGGATGGGGAGAGGGAGGTGGACGAGGACGACATGATGGTCGATGAGTACAAGGACCAGGATGAGAAGAAGGATAGCGAGGAGGACGGGTAAGAGTGACTGGTTGCTTGCATGCAGTGCTGTGGTGGTAGTTTAATAGTATGCGTGTTCTTCAGTGATACGATAAACTATGTATGTATGTGACCTTGGGACATGTGTGTGTGTGACAATACGTGACTCACCTTAATCTTGAGATTTGGGGGAAAATTTGATGTTGGGGCCAAGTTTGCCTTGAAAGTGTGGAACGTTCCCCCCCCCCCCCCCCCCCCCTCATCCCATGCCCTATAACAAGTTTTTTTGCCTGCCCGGGACTGCGTCTTTTGGTGCGTCTTTCGCATCATACATACGAGCTGGTGATTATATTCAGCGTGACTGTACTAGAAGTGATTGTATTGAGAACTGTGTCCTCCCAGGGTAGGTAGGCGGGTTTTCTGAGCCTGCTACTGTGCTGCTGGTGGCTCTTGTATCACAGGTGACTGTATTGAGTCGAGTTTGTGCTGTCTCAAGAGGGCGGTTACTGGGGGAGCGTGGTATCTCAGGTTTTGAGGGTTGGAGAGCATCGGTCGTTTCTCCCCGGAGCCTGCTGTCCATTTTCCCATCCCATTCCCCCTAACCTACTCCCCCCCCTTCCCATCCCCTTCCCATCCCCTTCCCAACCCCTTCCCTTCCCCTCACCTTTTCCCCTCTGTGTGCGCAGCTCCCCCCCTCCTCCGTCCCACGCATCCTCGCCCTGCCACCCATTTCCGCCTTCCTCTCTCAGGACCCCGCCCACTCCTCCCCCGAAGCTCTACACCCCGCGCTCAAGCTATGGCAGCTTGGGGAGGCAGGGGAGGAGAGAGGGCAGGGAACGCCCAGGTTTCCAGGATCCCCTGTGACCTCTTGATTATTTTGGTCCTTTTTTAAGGCGCCACAAGAGTCGTCTTGATTAACCTGGTCCCTTTTTTCCCCTCTCCCTTCCTCGTCCGATTCCTCTATGTGTGCAGCTGCCCTCGTCTTCCCTTCCACGCATACTCGCCCTGCCACCCATTACCGCCTTCCTCTCTCAAGACCCCTCCGAGTCTTCCTCCGAGGTCCTGCACCTGGCGCTCAAGCTGTGATCCTTCTTCCTTCTCATTCCTTCTCCTTCCCGTTCCCTTTTGTGTCTGCAGCTTCCGGCCTCCTCCCTCCCGCGAATCCTCGCCCTGCCACCCATTACCGCTTTCCTCTCTCAAGACCCCTCCGATTCTTCCCCCGAGGCCCTGCACCTGGCGCTCAAGCTGTGGCAGCTGGGGGAAGCAGGGGTAGGGGGAGGGGAGGGAGGAGAGGACGGAGGAGAGGAAGGAGAAAGAGGGGCAGGAAAAAAATCGGGGAAAAAGGGGGCCAAAGGGCGGAAATATGCTGCTGGAGCAGGGGCGGAGACGGGCAGCGGAAACACATTTCTGCGCACGCTGCTGGAGCTTTGCCCTCTGCTGCCGCAGTCCGGTCGGGCAGAAGATTTTTTCAGCGCCGCCCATCTGGAGAAGCTGCTGCCTGTGCTGCAAAATAGTTCCTCCTCCCACCCACGCCTGCATGCCGTGTGGGCGTTGCTTCTAGACCGCCTCTTCTCACTCCCCCTCCCCTCTCTCCCTCTCCCCTCTCTCTCTCCCCCCTCCTCCTCCTCCCCCTCTTCCCTGCTCGCGTCTCTCCCATTTCTCTCCCCCGCTTTCTCCAAACCCTCCTCTTCCTCCTCCTCTCCCCTCCCCTCCTCAGCCCTTTCGACTTTCTGGTCTATAATAGTAGACAGGGGACTAATCCCTTCCTCTCACGAAAGGAGGTATTTGGCTATTAATCTCTTGCTGCTCCTAATCCCGCGCCTCCCTCCCACCACCACGGCCCACGTCATCCTCTCTCGACCAATCACGCGCTGCTTAATGGACGCGCTGGGGGCGGGGAGCAGGGCGCACCTGTTCCCACTGAGTCAGCGCTGCGTCGCGCTGATTCAGCGATGGCCCACCTTGGGGGAAGTGGGGGAAGGAGGGGAAGGGGAGGGGGAGGAGGGGGAGGACGGGGGAGGGCGGGGAGAGGGAATAGAGGGCAAGCAGGGGAATGAAGGGAAGGAGGCGGAAGGGGGGAAAATCAAGGCAGCAAAATCAGCGGCATCACCAGCAGCAGCGGCAGCAGCAGAAATGGAATCAGCAGCAGCAAGGCTTGCTATCCTGACCACCCTGCAGCAGCACTCTAAAGGGCAGTTCGATACAGTCACACGCAGCAATGCTGTTCGCTTGCTTGCAGCGGGGATTGCAGGGGTTGAGGGGGAGAGGGCGTATTACGGGTTTCTGCAGTCTGTGTTTGCCCGCCCCGGGGAGTTTGTGGGTTTAGGGGGAGAGGTGAGGGAGACGGGGAGAGGCGGGGACGGGAGGGGAGGGAGAGGAGGGAAGGAGGGGAAGAAGGGGAAGGAAGGGAAGTGGGGGAGTGCGGTTGGGGAGGAGAAAGGAGGAGGGGAGAAGGAGTGGGAGCGAGAGGCAGAAGCGGAGAAATGGCGGTTTTGGGCGCTGGATCAGATGTGTAGGCTGGTATCAAAACCAGTTCCCAAACCGGCGCTTAGCCTAAGGAAAACGCTTAAGCAGCTGAAGAAGAAGAGTGTTTTGAACGCTGATGCTGCTAAAACGGCGGATGGTGCAGGAGAAGAGGAGGGGAAGGAAAGGGAGGGAGTGGAGGTGAGAGAAGAGGAGGAGAGGAGGAGGAGGGAAGCAGACGAGGCAGTGAAGGCAGTGTGGGAGCATGTGACTCTAAGGAAGGTGATTCTAGGATTCATTATGAGAGTCATATTAAAGGGCGGCGAAATTCAGGCTGAAAACGGTGGGGGGTTGGCGACAGTCGTAGGAGGAGAGGAGGAGGAGGAAACTCGGAGGAAGGGAAAGAAAGGGAAGAAAGGGAGCAAAGAGGGAAAGCGGAACGAGAAGCAGCAGGACGAGCAGGGGCAGCAGGGGCAGCAGGGGCGAGAGTCAGAGTCAGGGGCTCTCTCTTTTGAGTCGACTCAAAAGTCACGAGGGCTGGAGTCAGAGGCTCGGCCTCTCTCTTTCTCCCCTGTCGTGTCTGCAGGTGTGCTGGCTGCTTGCCGGTCCCGGTTCTTATCCTCGTTAGAAGCTCTTTTCAAGCAGCTGGACTATTTCGTTAAGAGCCCTGAGGGGAGAGAGGTGGAGAGGGCTTTGGGGGCCGGGAGAGAGGGGAGCGAAAGGGAGGGAGGGAAGGAAGGGAAGGAGGGGAAGGGCACTGAAGGCGTGAGTATAAAGGGAACGGGATTGTGGGTGGTCGAGCAGCTAGCATGGGAGGGTGAGGGGTGGATGGAAGGGAGGAGGAGAGCGGGTGTCGAGAATGGAACGATGGAGGTTGATGGGAAAGAGGAGGGGAGTGAGAAAGAGGAGGAAGAAGGGGAGGATGTGGAGGCAGTTGCAAGAGGGTTGAAAGAAACACTCAAGCTCGTTGCTCAAGCGAAAGAGGAGCGGGCTGAACTGGCTTTTGGGTCGACTCAACAGTCACTCAAGCTTGTCACTCAAGTGAAAGAGGAGGGCGCTGAAAGTGCCAACCAAGCGACCCTGCCAGTCCCTGCTTTTGCGTCTCCTCTGCTTGAAGCTCGGAGGAAGGCTGTTGGCGTGCTCCTAGGGACGCTCCTGCTCTGCATTCGCATCCAAACCTCCGCCGAAGCTGCTGCCGAAGCTGCCGCCGAGGCTGTTGCCGAGGCTGGTGCGGGTGGGGATGGGGGGGTTCAGAAGGCGAAAGAGAGTGAAGGTAGTGGGGATGAGGATGAGGAGAAGGAGGAAGAGGAGGAGGAGGAGGAGGGTGCTGCTTCTCCTCCTGCTGGTGCTGCTGGTGCCGGTGGTGCTGTTGCCGGTGGTGGTGACGTGGATGTTCTTCTGGAAGCTGCTGCTGACGTCACTGCCATTGCGCGCCAGCTGGTGGCCTCTGGTTGGTTGATTCCCAAGGGAGGGAAGGCTGGCGCGAATGGAAGTTTGGGAGGGAAGGGGAGAGGAAAGAGGGTGGTAGATGGTGAGGAGGACAGTGAGGAGAGTGAGGAGGAAGAGGAGGAGGAGGAGGAGGAGGAGGAGGAGGAGGAGGAGGAGGAGGAGGAAGAGGAGGAGGAGGAAAAGACAAAGGATGTGATGCTGTCATTGGTGGATGTAGTTTTGTCCTTACTGGCGCAGGAATCCTCTCTTCTGAGAGGGGCGGCGGAGGGTGTCTTTAGCGCCTTCTGCAACGATCTGACTGCCGAGGCCCTTGAGACTATAATGGAGGTGGTTGTAACGAATCCTAGGAGCAAGAAGAGAGAGGAGGTGCTGGAAGGGGAGGAGGAGGAGGAAGAGGAAGAGGAGGAGAGTGGAGAGGAAGGGTCGGAAGGTGAAGAAGGCAGTGAAGATGAGGAAGAGGAGGAGGAAGAGGAGGAGGACGACGAGGAGGACGCTGCGTTAAGAAAAGCTATCAAGGAAGCGAATGAAAACAGCATCGGTAACCCCAACGGCAGCATGAGCGACAGCGACAATGAGGAGTTGATGGACGATGCGGCCATGTTCCAAATCGACCAGCACCTGGCCGACATTGTTCGGCAGAAAGTGGAGGCAGAGACTCGCCGCAAACGCCGGCAGAGCATCTTGCTGGGAGAGCACTTCCGCCTGCGCGCCTTGTCGCTCCTTGACACGTGGCTCGCACACGCTCCCAGTGCTTACTCCCACGCACGCTCCCTCTCGTTTGAAGAGCCTCACTCGTTAGAAGGCAGGAAGCCTCTTTCGTGCGATCCGCTGGTGCTTGCGGTGGTGCCGCGGCTGCTGAAGGCGGCAGCGGGGAACTATGCGGCGAAGGGCAGCTTGAAGGGCGGGAAGGGCGGGGGAGGCGGCGAGGGGAGGGGGGGCACCGGGCATGATGCTGTGCTGGTGAGGGTTGAGAGGATGCTGGAGAGGCGGGTGGTTGGTGCTGTGGTGGTTGTGGGGGGAGGAGGAGGGAAAGGAGGAGGGAAGGGAGGAGGGGGGAAGGGGGGAGGGAAGGGTGCTGCTGCTGGTCAGGAAGAGGAGGAAGAGGAGGGGGAGGAGGAGATGAGGAGGATAGCAATCGAAAGGCAGCAGGAGCGGCAGCAGGAGAGAGAGGATGAGGCTATTCTGCTTGCCGCCCGGGCGGCCATGCAGAAGTGTTTTGCAGAGGCCACCCGGCGAACCTCCATCCGGCACCTGGCGCTCGTCGCGGGAGATTGTGCCATGTGGCTCTGCCACGTCATCCAGGCGCGGCTCTTAGCTAAGTCCCAGCAGGAAGCGATTTCTAATCGCGATCAGGAGAAAAACGCCAAGCCTCAGCAACAGCAGCAGCGGGGGAAGAAGCAGCAGGGGAAGCAGGGGAATGCGTTCAAGGCATCTTTGATCGATTCATCCGTTCTAGACGCCTTTTCTTCGGCCATTTCCCGAATCCTTGATTCTCGGGATTGCCCTCTCCCTCTGACCTTTATCCGCGACACTCTCGCTCGCTTTCCCGGAATGTTTTCCGCTCTCATTCCGTACTTTTTCAGAAAGTGTGGCTCGGGCAGGTCGGAGTTCGTCCGGGCAGCTGCGATAAAACTCGTCACGCCGTTCCTGAACCGTTTTCCGCTGCCCGAGGGGGCCGCGGAGGTGCTATCCGGGCAGGTAGAAAAGGGGGTGGTGGGGAAACTGCTGATCGAAACCCTAAAGCATGAGTATGGGAAGTTAGAGCGGTGGGAGTTGGGACTTGATTTCTGCTGTGCTCTGCTGCGGTCTGTAGGCCATGCAGACGAGTTCCTAGCAGCAGCTGCTCTCAAGGCGGACGAAGAATCTTCTAAGAAGGTTCCAAACGGCAGCGAGAGGGTTGGGAGTGAAGGCTCGGGTGCTCCTCCGAAGCTCCTCCAGGCCTTGGATGTTGAGGGGCTGAAGGCAGCTTCGGCCGAACCTGCGTCGGTGCAGCGGGTAAAAGGGAAGGGGAGGACCGGGCAGGTGATTGCACAGTTGCAGCGGCTGGTGGCAGCTGTAGAGGCTGTGAGGGAGGGGAGGGCGGGGAGTTTGCGAGAGGGAGTGAATGTGGTTTTGGGGCGTGTGAAGGGAGGGAAGGGGACTGGGGTTGAGGAGGAGGGTGTGGAGGAGGTAGCGGAGGATGGAGAGGATATGGATGGGGATGGAGAGAAGCGAGGGGGAAAGGGTGGGAAGAGGGGGAAGGGAGGGAAGGGTAAGCGGAAGCAGGTTGGGGAAGCAGATGGGAAGGAGGTGAAGGAGGAGAGGGAGGAGGAGAAGGAGAAGCAGAGTGAGCAGGCGGAGGAGCAAGTGAAAGGGAAACAGAAGCTGAAGAAGGAGAAGAAAGGGGGGGGTCAGGAGGAGGAGGGGAAGAAGAGAAAGAAGCAGAAGAAAAGCACAGGTGGTGAGGAGCAGTAAGAGGAGGAGGAGGAACAGAAGAGGAGCAAGCAGATGTTTTTATTAAGGTATGGGATTGCGATAAAGGACTGGAAAAGATGGGAGGGTTGTGGCAGGGAATGGGAGGGGTGGAGTGAGAGTGGGGGAGGTCTTTGAGATGGCCCAAGATCCAAGAGAGGAGGTAGATGAAGGAAGAAACGTGTGAGGGGTGGGGGTTGGGAATGATTTGATGGCAGGTGGATTGAAGACAGGCACACGAGGGATTGGAGGAAGGAGGAGGAAGCGCCACGAATTTCCAGGAAAGGAATGTTGCAGAGCGTTTGTTGATTATGGTTAATCTTGAAAATGACCCAGTAAAGTTTGAACTAGTCAGTTTGAGCCTGAAGCGATGGGCACTCCACTCCATGGGCTGTTGCAGAATGCAGAATGCCACTGAACCAGGCTGGAATTGGTGTGATGGTGTGTGTGATGGAAATGGTGTGATGGAGGTGTGTGTGATGGAAATAGTGTTATGGAGGTCTGTGGTGTGAACAGGTTGCTACTGTGGAAACCTTAAAAAGCTTTGGGGTGGTTGCTGAGTGGATGGTAGCTTGCCAAGGTTTTAACTCATAATCTCCTAATAAAAGGTACATGGTGGTAACCAAATTACAGGGTCTTTAAACTTCGGACAGAGCAACCAGTTCAATCCCAACCCCTCTGTTATGAATCAACTTGCAGAGTGCGCAGTAAAATGAATAACGAGAATGGAAATTACTGAATTACTGAATGAAGAAACAATGAAGTTGGGAGGCCTAAATAGGGGAAAGCTAGCTAGGCGGGGGGTTCGGGATGGGATGGCTCGTTGATGGTTGCGATTGGAGCGGAGGCCGACTCGGGGGTGGTTCGGTGCGACGAAATAGGCAAGACAGGTTCGTCGCGTGACCCTCGGGATGACCTCGCTAACGTGTGCCTCAGTAAGGATTTGTAAATCCTTACACCCTCTCATCTGACTCACTCAAATGTTTATGGCTAGCTAAATGTATTAAGAAAGCTTGCTTTCTTATTCTTATCAATTGGCTTCGTTCTCATTACAAATGGCTTATTACAACATTTGCATCAAAGTTGAACACTGTTGGAAACAATAAATCCTAAGTGCGCTTCTGTCGTGACAAAATCCAAGGCACCAAGCAAAACAGTCCCAATCGAAGCATCGAGTCAACCTCGAGAGGTTAGGGTAACCGCCTGGAGGTTACGAGAAAGTCAAAGGTCAGCGACCTTTGACTCGACAATTACAGCGCGACAGTTAAGGACACACAACTGACTCGTTACAGAGCAGTTGCCCGAGTCGCACTATATCGAACCGCAACAGCAATACAGTTATCTATCTATCTATTCGTATTCCCTGTACTCTTATATAAATCCTTGTATTTGCTTGTTTAATTTAATCTACTTTGCTCTCACACACCAGTGCAAGGTCGGTTCACAATCTTCATTAAAACGCTTCCGCTATTACAAGTTTCTACCCAAAGAGTTCTCCTCTGCAAAAGATCCTAAGGGCTATTTCTCAGCCCAACATGGTATGAGAGCAGACAGGGGAAAACTCTAAACCTCTTTTTCATTTCAAGACATGGCAACAAACAAGGAAAGGAGCTCTCCTAATGGCTCCTCGGGCACTACTCCTACTCCACCACCAGCCTCTGGCCTACAGACAGAGGAAGGCACGACAGCAAGACCAAGGGGAACTTCAACCGAGACGCCCACGAACCACCCCTCTGACTTCGACCAGAGCATGATGGAGAAATTTTTCTCCTTCATGTCCTTCTACGAGCAACACCAGCAGTCGGGACCTGCACAGACACACAACAGCAACAACGGAACGGCACCTATGAGCCTTGACGGGTCGTCATACGCGCGAGGGAACCAACAACAGCAACCCACCTTCGCCCCGTACGAACGTGGGTCGATCAGCTTCCTGCCTCAACCTTCACCTGCGCAAGACAAACCAATGGATGCGTTACAAGTACAGTCGCAGTTCGCGCATGTTCTGAAGCTACAGACATCAAGACCTTTCGACGGAAAGGACTTCTTTACCTGGTCCTTTGAATTCGAGCTGATGATGGAAGGCGCGCAGATACTTGGCTTCTTCGACGGGTCCCTGCAATACCCAGCAAACGGCACACAGTATGAAAAGCAGCAGTATACGTATCAATCCATGATGGCGTATACCATTCTACTAAGAAACATCACACCAACCCAGCAGCAGAACATTCGCTCTTACCGGAACTTCGGCAACTCAGCGGAACTCGCGTACGGCCATCTGAAGAACCTGTACCAGGCAACAGACAGTGTAAACCAGAGCAGGTTAATGGCGCAGTTGACAACAGTTGAAATGAAACCAGGAGAAAAGGGGTTGGCGTATATCAGCCGATGTCGCGAATTGCGCGACAAGCTTCTTCGATGTGGAGGGTCAATCTCTGAAGACGCCTTCGTAACAGTCGTCATCGGTGGCCTCGGTCCTCAGTGGCGCGCCACCAAAGCAATTCTTCGAGCACACGGGAGGATTTCAGAGGCGGCACTCTGCGCCGAAATTCACGCCGAGCAGCAGGATATGGACCTGCAAGAAGAAAGACACAAGAAAAGAGTATCAGCACCGGAGTTTGCCTTCCATACTCAGCGACGACACAACAACTACAACAATCAACAGCAGCAGCCGAAACTAGTACCTCCGTTTTGTCACATCTGCAAGACATCAGGACACCCACGCACGCACTGTCCGTCTCGTCAGACAACACCACAGCGACAACTGCGGCCTTCAAGCACCCAAGTTGCTTCGACACAAGCAAGCTCGACAACCACGATTCAAGCTTCAACGACCTCAACTGGACAACCTGCACAAGGAGCAAGAAATATAGTTAACTGCATGGTCAAGATAAACGACTCTTGCATAACAGAGTCACCACCCCACTACTCACCAGAAGAGGAGCTCGACAACAGAACGCCTCGCCGCGAATCACTCCACCCGAATCCGACTTACGCCGCCATCGCTCAAAGTGAACCGTCCGGCCAAGACACTTGGTTCTTGGACAGCTGCTGCGGGCAACACATGTGCTCGTCCGGGCGTTTCGTACAACGCGAACATCGACTCCAACGAGACGTGATCATCACGGTTGCCAACAATCGAAACCTGCGCACACGAAGACAGGGAGTGGTACAGCTTCAGTCAAGAGAGACAAATGTCATACTGCACATGTCTAAGGTACTCATCGCTGAAGGACTCGGCTACAACTTACTGAGTGTCAGCCAGTTGATGGCGAAAGGAATTCATCCAGAAGCCGACAGCACGACCCAGGAGTTCAAGCTTTACCATGGGAGAGGCGGTCTCTACATCGGGAAGGCAGTGCTGAAGAATAACGTTTTCGTCCTCGACTTCGCTCCCGACCTCGGCACTGCAGACAGCGACGCCATTGTGAACTTTGCTGATTGGACACACCCTCCGGATCTCGACCCCGACTTCAGCCCGGGAGGTTTCTGGTACTCCCACACTATCCCTGAAGCAGAAAGAACAAGAGCGTTAGCAACGATTCAACAAGAAGCAGAGGCGACAACATCGGCAGCAGCGACAACATCGGCAGCAGCAACAACATCGGCAACAGCGACAACATCGGCAGCAGCAACAACATCGGCAACAGCAACAACATCGGCAACAGCAACAACATCGGCAGCAGCAACAACATCAGCAGCAGCAAGAACAACGACACCAGTCACAGTCGACGAAGCACCACCAACACCCGCGCAACAGCTGAATCCGACTCAACGTGAAGTCCACCGAAGTGCCAACCTCGTCGCCAGTTTTTACTCCAACTCCGACGCATATCAGCGTTCACCCGGACACCGCGCCTCTGAAGAGATCTGGCACGCACGCACAGGACACCCAAGCAACACAGTTTTAAATAACACGATAAGAGCAGGAGTTCTTGACAAAGACTCTCTACTTCTACCCGACGGCAGAGAACTCCAAAAGGCACGAGGGACTTGTCTTATATGTCCCGAAGCTGACTTACCTCATCGACCGTTTGCTCCACATCACAACCCGAGCGCTCCAGCGTACGCACCACTCGAAAAGGTCTACAGCGACATCCTCTACAATCGCGAACCAGGACAAGTCAACTACAACTACACCATCACCTTCATCGACGCCGCCACTCGATACATCTGGCATCGCAACCTACCCAGCCGCGACATGGCGCTCGCAGCATTCGCCGCCTGGCTACCAAAAGCAGAGAGAGAGTCTGGAACACAACTGAAAAGTTTCCAGTCAGACGGAGGTGGCGAGTACACCTCTCAGCGCTTCAAGCAGTTCTTGGCGGAAAAGGGGATCAAGCAACTCCTCTCCCTTCCCTACGCACATCAGCAGCAAGGTGTTGCAGAACGAATGAACAGGACCCTGCAGAACAGCATGCGCAAACTGTTACGTGGCATGCGGCTACCCAACCACCAGTGGCCAGCAGCAATGGACCACGCTGTCATGCTGCACAACTTGTTGTCATCGTCGTCACTCCCGAACAACACATCACCGCATCTGCTGTGGACAGGGAAGCAGGGCAGCACAAAAATGTTACGAGTTTTTGGGTGCATGGTACAGTACAGACCCCCAGAAGCACGAGCGGGAAGATTTTCGCAACGGGCACAGTGGGGACTACACCTCGGCATCGAGAAAAATTACAACGCATGGAGAATCTTTGACGTCCACACAAAGGAAACAGTAGCAGCACGTGACGTGATCTTCTACGAAAGACTCACCCTTCAGACGTACCTCGCCAACTTGCACGAGAATCGGGACCTCACCAGTGGTTTTCGTGGTGACCGAGCCTTCGCGTCAGCAGCGGACGAAGCAGACTGGGACGAACAGAACGTCGACAACGCCTCGGAGGAAGCCGGACCTCTCCCATACTGCTCCGTCGACGTGCCCATGGATGAGGATAATCCTCGCGACAGTAACAACGCCGAAGTCTTCTATCGTTTCGCCGACGATGGTTACGTAACACCTGTGACAGTCAACACCAACGAAGCAGAAAGGGTAGGGCCAAATTTCATGCCCGACCCAGAAACGGGAGACGAAGCAGCTTATCTCGAGGCTCCAGAACTCCCTCGATACTCACAGACTGGGCTGCAAATCCTTGGTCTCGTCACCGCAGTCCATGGCGCCGGCATTCCCAAGGAGCTTGCGACGGTTCAACAGGCTCTGGGGGGGGAACACAAGGAGAAATGGCGTGAAGCCATGGACAAAGAGCTGAAGGCACTGGAGGAGCGCAACACCTGGAAAATTGTTCCCATCGGCGTAACTCAAAACAAAACCATTCTTACCGGGAAGTGGGTCTTCCGTGTGAAGACGAAAGCTGATGGCACCATCGACAAATTCAAAGCCCGCTGGGTCGTACGTGGTTTCGACCAGGAGCACGGAAGAGATTACACCGAAACCTTCGCGCCGGTCAGCCGTCACACTTCACTCCGAATCCTCATCGCCGTCGCCGCCATGAAGAAGAAGAAATTTCGACAAATCGACGTTGCGAATGCATTCCTTTACGCACCTGTAGATGCAGAAATCTTCGTCGAACTCCCGCACGGCTCCCACG